AAAACATTAATCGATTCTCTTGCGGACGTGTTGATGCATCGATACAAAACGATTATTATTTACACCCCTACTGATGATATTACTATTATTTTCTTTTTCATCAATAATTTAAGCATTTTTTTTTTTATAATTTTCTGGTTTCTCTCAGCTCTTTAGACTGCTAACGCATTGTTGTCCCATTCAGACAGATGAAAATGAACTAGCTCACGTTCAAAATAATGAACCTAAAAAATAAAGTAGTTCAAGTTCTTTTGGTGAAATGAAGTCACAATCCTCCTCAATAGAACCTCCTATTTCACCCTTTAAATGTGTGATCATAATATATAGAAAGAAATGGATGCAGGTCAGGGTATACTGGATGTGCAGTGAAGCTTTTATTTTTTTTGTCCGTCTTCTTTTGTTAGTTTGTCAAACTCTGCCAAATGCTCTGCTAAACTAGCATCAGAAACACCAGCAGATGAGTCTGAATGGAGCAGACTAGTATCAGCAGCAGACACGCTGCTCTGTCAGGCTGTTTGCTCTAAAACCTGACGTTATCCAAAAAAAAGTGTCGTTATCACTTGTGCACATACGTGAGCTGTGTGTGTCGCTCATTATTCTCAGAGTGAACGTCACTCTCATTCACTTTCATTAGCACAAAAATGATCCGTTCAGTTCATCAGAAATATGAAGGTATTCATGCACAACTCTGTTCTAGTGATGGTCGTAACACAGCAGAGCTGTAGGACTGATATATACAGAAGAATTAGCCAGAATCATTGTGATCTGAGTCAAGTTTAACTGATGTTCAGCAGCTCTGCTTTCACAGCGTTGGTGTCTTTATGGTTGAAATGATGCAGAATGGGACCAGAGGAAGTCAGATAGGATCCTTCTAATAACCACGTCCATCTTTCTGTCCCTCCTTCAGGAATCGTCTGCCATTTAATGAACTTATTAGCTAATCTTATTGTGTCCAGAGAGGCGGGACCCAGCTCAGGGGCGCTAAGGAGTGGTTTATGTTCCCAGGTTACACAGCGGTGATGCCCTGGCAGGGGATCCCGCTGGAAGAAGCTCTGCCTGCCTGTGAGCGTGGAGACACTTTTACAGTGGAGGAGGTGAAGCTGGTGGAGCGGCAGACGAGTCCTCCTGACTACCTGACAGAGGCAGAACTCATCACGCTCATGGAGAAACACGGCATCGGTAGGAGAACCGAGTTCTACAGGAGAACACCTCCCTAAACCCGATCATTTAGGACAGGAAGCAGCTGGAAGCTCAGAGAAAAACAGAGAAAAATGAAAGAGGGGGAGGAGAGAAGGGTGAGGATGAAGAGAGAAGGGTGAGGCGGAAGGGAGAAGGGTGAGGCGGAAGGGAGAAGGGTGAGGCGGAAGGGAGAAGGGTGAGGCGGAAGGGAGAAGGGTGAGGCGGGAGGGAGAAGGGTGAGGCGGAAGGGAGAAGGGTGAGGCGCAAGAGAGAAGGGTGAGGATGAAGAGAGAAGGGTGAGGTGGAAGGGAGAAGGGTGAGGCGGAGGGGAGAAGGGTGAGGATGAAGGGAGAAGGGTGAGGCGGAAGGGAGAAGGGTGAGGCGGAAAAGAGAAGGGTAAGGCGGAAAAGAGAAGGGTGAGGTGGAAGAGAGAAGGGTGAGGAAGAGGAGAGGAGGATGAGGAGGAAGAGAGGAGGATGAGGAGGAAGAGAGGAGGATGAGGAGGAAGAGAGGAGGGTGTGGCGGAAGAGAGAGGGGTGAGGAAGAGGAGAGAAGGGTGAGGCGGAAGAGAGACGGGTGAGGTGGAAAAGAGAAGCGTGAGGTGGAAGAGAGAGGGGGGAGGAAGAGGAGAGA